TTTTTAAAAAAAAAAAAAAAAAAAAAAAAAAAAGCATACCACATTACAAAACATGCTAAAACTATACTGAGAGGAAACTTTAGAACTTTTTTTTTTTTGGTGGCTGGCCAGTACGGGAATCCAAACCCATGACCCTTGGGTTATAAGGCTGTGCTGTAACCAACTGAGCTAACCGGCCAGCCCTGAAACTTTAAATGTATATTTCTAACCACAAAATACAAGCATTCAAGTAAGAAGTTGGAAAAAGGACAGCAAAGCAAATCTAAGAAAAGCAGAAACAAAGACTTAATGAAAGTAAAAATTGGTGACTCGGAATAAAACTAAAATAGAATCATAGCTTCATTGCTAAAGGAGTAGACAACTTTTGGGATAGTTGTATAGTTTATAACCTCCCTTTTCTAAAAGGTTCCTCTTGACTCACACAGGTGACACCCACAAGTCTAGTGTGTCATGGCTGATTGGACCAAGGGTGAACATCTTGTCTGAGCTGGGCCAATCAATCAGAATTTCCTTCTCAGGAACTGATCAATGGGAATCAAAGATATTTATCAGTTTATCCTGGTCCCCCAAACTGAGAAGAGAGGAGAGAAGGAGTAAAGGGGAGAAGAGAAGAAGAGAGACAGAAAGAGAAGCCTAGATCTTGAATACCTGGATGAAAGGGATGACTTTCCAGAAAACTATAAATGACCTAAACAGATCTATAATGTGAAAATCACTGAGGAAGTTCTTAAAGGCATACACATTCCCTCTTTCAAAAAGTCCCAAATCCGTACGTTTCCCAAATAAACAACTCCAGCCTGGTTTATAAAAACAGCTTCATAGTGATGCAAATATAAGTACTTATGAATAATGATGTAAACATGCTAAATAAATATTAGCAAACAGAATGCAATGATATGTTAAATGAACAATTCACCATTAATAAATGGAGTTCTTTCTAGGAGTGCAAGGATGACTTGGTCGTATGCCATCTATTAATAAATTTCAGCAAGTGAAAATTCAGGTCAAGGGAATAAACCAATGTGATTATATTGATAGATGATTCTAAAAGCATTTAATAAAATCCAGTATCTGTTCTTAGTTTGTTAAACCTTCCTCATTTAAGAAAGGACCTAGAAGAAATGATACCACACTAATAATGAGTCCCCCTAACACCTGGATCTTGGTTTCTAAATGTTATTCCCCTCTAAAGGAAACCAGAGCTCCTTGGAGAAATGGCTGATTATGGGTTTGGGGTGTGAAAGGGAGAAAGGGAGCTATCAAAAATGACCACAGTCAGGTCAAAAGAAAGAGGAGTCAGTTTAAAGGGACTTCTACAAGCCGTGTTTGGGACAGTTGGAGCATCAACAAGAACGATGACTATAATTAATCATAACACACTGAATAAAATAAAGTCCGTAAGTCTAATGATACTCCAAGGGGAAAAATGCAAGGGGTGGGGGACAAAGGCTTATTAAAAAAATTTTTTTAATTCTAGAAAGTTCTGAGCATATACAAAAAATAAAGAGAATAGTAAAATGAACTTTCACATACCTATCACCTATCTTCTACTCATGAACAAAATGAATTTATCTGTATCTTCACCTATTTCCCTCATTTCCCAAATCATTTTAAAGCAAATCTTGACATCATATGATTTCATTAGTAAATATACTCATATATTTCTCTGAAGGATAATGTGGTAGTTTTGTACTCAATTTAACTGAGCTAGAACCACGTTTCCTGGAATTCTCTTCCCTGCATGATGCCAGGTTATGGATGACCACAAGAGAAATTTGCAAAAGCTTTGGGAGGCAGAAGCAGAGCCAGCAGTCACTGGGCTCTGAGGGTGTCCTTCTTTGGAAGAAGTGGGGGACAGCAGAGGAGCTGGCAAGTTCCATTCACTTCTTCCTCTTTTCATTCTGCATCCAGTACTCCTTCCCAGCTACTGGCCCTGCAATAACCAACAACAACCCAATATCCCCTGACCAACAATATCCCTTGACTCAGTACCAGAACTTCCTCTTTGAACTCAGTGTTGGTAGCCACAACCAACGACCTTTCATATACTTTTCCATCAACTCCTTTTGCAATTCCACTTCAGCAAATAGATGCTTCTAGATTCTTGCAAGTTCCAACTCACTCACCTGTAGCAAGGTTGGTTAGTGACTTTGATCTTTTTTGGACCTTTGCTTCTCCAGTTCATCCCACAATTGCATTAGTTCCTATAATAAACTTCCTATTCCATAATACTCACAGAAGTTCTGCTTTGCTTGAGACTTAACTGATACAGATAAGAACTCTTATACACACACACACACACACAGAGAGAGAGAGAGAAAAACACTACCATTATCACAGCTAAAAAACAATCATTCCTTAATATCATCAAATGCCCACAGTGTTTCAATTTCCCCCATTTTCTTTTTCTTTCTTTTTAAAGACCAAATCAGGATCCAAAGAAGGTTCATACATTGGTTGATATGTCTCCTAAGTTTCTTTTCTGCATTTATTTTTCATTGCAATTTATTTGTGGAAAGAACTGTGCTGTTTATCCTATAGTTTAGATTTTCCACATCTAGATTTTGCTGATTTCAGCCCACTGGTGTCATGTTCCTTTGTCCCCTTTACTTTCCATAAACTGGTAGTTAGATCAAGAGGTTCAACCAGATGCAGGTTTGATTTTCTTTTTTTTGTTTTTCTTCCTTTTTTGTCTTTGTTCGTGACCGGCAACGGATCGCAACCCTCAGTGTCACGCCCGTACCGGACCAGGACCGGCAACAGGATCGCAACCCTCGGTGTTGCGCCCGCACCTCGCTCAGCCAGTGAGCGGCTGGTCTGTATGTGGGATCCGAACCCTTGGTGGGAGCGCCGCCGCGCTCTCAAGCGGCGCACTGTAGCAGTGTGCCACCAGGCCGGCCCCTCACAGGTTTGATTTTCTTTTTCTTTTTTTTTTCTTTTTTTTTTTTTCTGTGTCCGGCAATGGATCACAACCCTCAGTGTTCCCCCCGTACCGGACCAGGACCGGCAACGGGATCGCACCCCTTGGTGCTGCCCCCGCGCCTCACTCAGCCAGTGAGCGGGAACCGGTCTGTATGTGGGATCCGAACCCTCGGTGGGAGCGCCGCCGCGCTCTCAAGCGGCGCACTGTAGCAGTGTGCCCCCAGGGCGGCCCCTCACAGGTTTGATTTTCTTTTTCTTTTTCTTTTTTTTTTTTTTTTCTGTGTCCGGCAATGGATCACAACCCTCAGTGTTGCCCCCGTACCGGACCAGGACCGGCAACGGGATCGCAACCCTTGGTGCTGCCCCCGCGCCTC